TGTATGCAGTCCATTGTGCCGACTCGCGAGCATTTCACTTGCCTGAGCTTGCTGTGATGTTGCGACATGTCGCGACATTGGTGTCCTGTGGTGATGTTTATATGAGCCTCATACGAACCCCGAGATTATCTATGAATAGGCAAATTACCCCCTTAAAAGATAACATATTCATACTTAAGATGAGAAGGGATGCACGTAGGCTCCAAGATGAGTATATAACAAATATTCTGATGGGGAAGGAAGCATAAGAATCAAAAAATAAATCTACGAACACCCAAGATCTATCTAGGAGAAGCATAGTAACAAGAGGGAAGAGTGTGTCTACATACCCTCGTAGACCGAAAGCGGAAGTGTATACAACGCGGTTGATTTAGTTGTACTCTTCGCGATCCGATCACGACCCAACCTATCTAGTGCTGAACAGACGGCACCTCCGAGTTTAGCACACATGCGGCTTGATGACGTCTCCTCCTTCTTGATCCAGCAAAAAAAGGCGAAGAAATAGATGGAATCACAACCAGCACGACGGCGTGGTGGTGATGGTGGTGGTGGAGCTAGTTCAGCAGGGCTTCGTCAAGCGCTACTAGAACGAGGACGGAGAAACTACGGAATAACGAGAGAGAGAGGGAGAGAGAGGGAGGGAGGGAGAGAGAGAGAGAGGGGGGGCACCAAGGGCTTGGTGTGTCCTCTTGGGGCGTCCCCTCCCCTCTATATATAGGTGGAGGTGCATGGGAAACAGCCCCTTCAAGCCCTAGGGCGCAACCAAGGGGGAGAGGACTTGGACTCCAAGTCCAATCCTATATATTCCTATTAGGACTCCTCTTTTTTTCCCTTCCCTAACCACATGGGCTTTTAAGGACTTGGTGCGCCTAACCCAATAAGGCCAGGGCGCCTTCCCTCGGCCCATGGCAGCCGTTGGGTTGTGGTGGACCCACTTGTGGACTTCCGGACCCCTCCTGAATCCTTCGGAACCTTCTAGAAACTTCACGGTACAATACCGAAAAAATTGCATCTCTTTCCAGAACCCAAAATGTGATTTCTCATATATAAATCTTTACCTTCGAACAACATTCGGCTACCAATCATCAAATATCCCAATACTACTCTAGCGTCAATGAACGTTAAGCGTGCGACCCTGCGGGTTCGGGAATCATGTAGTCATGACCGAGACACCTCTCCGGTCAATAACCAATAGCGGGACCTAGATGTCCATATTGATTCCTACATATTCCACAAAAATCTTTTATCAGTTGAACAACGATGTCAAGGATTCGGTTAATCCCGTATGCAATTCCCTTTGTCCAGCCATATGTTACTTGTCTGAGATTCGATCGTCGGTATCTCCATACCTAGTTCAATCTTGTTACTGACAAGTCTCTTTACTCATTCGGTACAAGATCCCGTGACTAACTCATTAGTCGCATTGCTTGCAAGCTCTTTAAGATGTTGTATTACCAAGAGGGCCCAGAGATATTTCTCCATCATACGGAATGACAAATCCCAGTCTTGATCCATGCCAACCGAACAGATACCTTCGTAGATACCTGTAGAGCACCCTTATGATCACCCAGATATGAATTGACGTTTGGATATACACTAAGTATTCCTCTAGTGTCAGGGAGTTACAAGATCTCATGGTTTAAGGAACAGATACTTGACATAAAGAAAGCTATAGCAAATAAACTAAACGATCTGATGCTAAGCTTGTTGGGTCTTGTCCATCACATCATTCTCCTAATGATGTGATCCCGTTATCAAATGACAACTCGTGTCTATGGTTAGGAAACCTTAACCATCTTTGATCAACGAGCTAGTCTAGTAGAGGCTCACTAGGGACACTGTGTTGTCTATGTATTCACACATGTATTTAAGTTTCCGGTCAATACAATTATAGCATGAATAATAAACATTTATCATTAAGAAGGAAATATGATAATAACCAATTTATTATTACCTCTAGGGCATATTTCCAACATATTTAACCTCCTTAATCAAACATAATCATGATACTATAATCTTGGAGGATATGTACAGCCCATGAAGAAGATGTAGATATACTTGTCTACGATCGTCGAAACGGAAAAGGTGCAACCCGAAAGTCGTGTGAAACGGCGAGATGAAACTACTGGTCAAAGGAAATTTCAAGTTGTCGACCATGTGCGACGAATTTGACAAAATTCGTCCAAAATAGCTTCAAACATGAACACAAAATTGAATATTTACGGTAAACGCAACCGGTCGGCTAAATTGAACCATAATATCGATGTGCATCCTTTTCATATAGAGCTGATCTCGAATCGTAACACCGTTGTATATATTATAAGGTGAAAGAGATTAAGAGAAGGTTACGGTAAAACACGTGCAAACTCAGGTACACGGTGCACCCAGCCAGCGCGAGCTCAAACGTAACTCATCATGAGAGCCACCAACATGCCCTATATTCCATCGCTGGAGTCTGACTCGCTGGAAATAGCCGATCGAGCATTATCAACGATGTAGGCTTGGAGAGTACTTTAAGTTTCGTGTGCGCCAACTTTTTGGGGCGAACCGAGCAACCAAACATGCCAAAAACTAATCGTGTGGGCTGGCTGGGCGTAATGCAAACTACCAAACACGTCTTTTGTGAATGTTTAAATGCATCAATAGTCCAATATTGACATATCTCAGCTCACCTAACATTGTTTTGGGCAAAAAGGAAGAAGTTGAAGTGACATAGTTATCAAATGACAGTAGAAATCCCCACCAATATCTTCACATATAGACTGTTACGACCAAAAACTCAAATTTATATGACAATTCTAAGTACATAACAAATACAATATTGTTCATGAATGAGCACATACGTAGGAGTAAAATAAGATCTGTTTAGGGTATATATAAATGTGTCCTCGTTCATAACAGAAGTACACAACCGCCTCCTTTCCAAAAAGATAGGGTTTCTCAGCATCTTGCCGGCATCGTCGCCGGTCTGCCTCGTCGGAGTGGATTCGGGTCCTTGCCGATGAAAGGGCTCCGTTTTTATATCTTTCTTCAAGTTTTGTTAGGGTATGTGTCCTACTCAGGAGGGCGAAACGGCAACGGCTCCTTGAAGATGGAATAAGATCCCTCCCGCCTAGCCTCCGTTCCGGTGGTGCGTTTAGCGCCGTTGATGGGCATGTGGAGATGTGTCTCTGAAGGATCTATCATTGGTGGACTTGCCCGGGTCTGGTAGCTGTTCGTCTATATTCGTGTGTCTTCAGGTTGGATCCTTCTGATATACGCTACTCTCCATCGCCGGCGGTTGCTATTCTTGTGTGTTGGTCCTATGGAGTCTTAGCGTGACAATTTTTCAACTGTCTACTAAAACAAGTTTTGCCCGACTTCGACGAGGTCGGCGCGATGACAGCGGCGCGTGGTCTACGTATTTTGATGTAATTTTTATTATTTCTATTGTTCGTTGTACTACCATAATTGGAAATGAATACTTTTTCTGTTCCTAAATATTTGTCTTTTTAGAGATTTCAAATGAACTACCATGTACGGATGTATATAGATATATTATAGAGTGTAGATTCACTTATTTTGCTCCGTACGTAATTACGTGTTGAAATCACTAGAACTAGAAAGACAAATATTTAGGAACTGACAGAGTAGATGGTAAGTTTTCACGTAAACAAAACAGGAGTACAGTATAGATATATGAATATAGAAAGATTTAGGAATACTTAAATACCTTATTAGGGAAGATACCAGCACTGAGATCACGAGTGGAAATTGGAGGAAAGGATGCATCATGTACCTTCCCTCGGACGCCTCGTCCGTCCACCAGACGGCTACATGGCCGGCACGGTTACAAATAACTTCCACCCATAAAACAATCCCAATCCCGTCTCGATCGTCTTCCTGCCCGCCATCTCTGCCGCCGCGGCCACCAAACCCTAGCCCGCCCCCGCCACACCACGACAGCCCGCGCGCCCTACGCCGCCGCGGCAATGTTCTACTCCCACTCCGTCCTGGCTCGGAAGAGCCCGCTGGGCACGGTGTGGATCGCCGCGCACCTGGAGCGCAAGGCCGTCAACCGGACGCAGATCGACGGCGTCGACGTCCCCTCCTACGCCGAGTCCATAATGGACCCCGAGGTGCCCATCGCGCTCCGGCTGTCGGCGCACCTCCTCCTGGGCCTCGTCCGCATCTACTCGTGGAAGGTGAACCACCTCTTCCAGGACTGCAACCGCATGCTGAGCGCCATCAGAACCGCCGCCGCCTTGGCCCCCGCTCGGCCGGACATCGACCTGCCGCCCGACACCGACCGCGACCCCTTCGCGGCCATCTCGCTGCCGGCGACCTTCAGCCTGGACGACTGGAACCTGGACGACGCGATCCTTCTGATTGAGTCTCCGGACAACCACCGGAGGGCTGCCGATGAGATCACCTTGCCTGGAGAACAGTATGTGATGGCCACCCTTGATGAGGACGGGCCGTCTCCTGCCTGTCGATCCTTGCGCTTTGAGCCTGACTGCCTGAGCCACAAGAGGAGGGGACAATATTCCCCCCGTTTCCAGAGGATGCAGTTTCTGTAGATCTTCCACCCCGGGACAGTTTTCATACCAATGGGCACCAAGATTTGCCGGAAATATTGCGCCGAGCGCCCGAGAGTGTGACAAGGATTACTGATGACACTGGCACTGACCCCATGGACGAAGATCCGTCGCCTTTCATGGAGAAGGTTACCACGCCACTGGCAATATGCTCATCTTTGTCCCCTGTTAGAGGATCGTCTTTGCCTGGGAAATCCATTCCAGATCTACCAACAGGTGTCAGCCATGATCCTATTCCTATGGAAGAAGATGAAGAACCAGTCGGCACTGGAACCCTGGTACCAGCTGCAGCATTTATCCTTGAACCATCTCCGCCTCCAGTTCAAGGTAACAAGAGAAAGAGAGCGCAGAATAATGCACAAGAGAACCCGAGAATCGACGAAATAGTAGTGCTCTCCAACGACGATATGAGGTCGCAAGTCGATGGCGATGACTTGCAAAGGCTGGTCCGCAGGAGGAAGCCACTGCCCCCATACAGCACTGGATACGTGGAGATTCAACAGGATAAGGCAAAAGGACAGCTTACTCTCTGAACCTTTGGTACAAGGAATGTGCACCGACCTTCAGAAAGCTTGCGAGAGGAACTACCCTCGTGTGAGTGACTCTGATGCTGATGCTGATGCTGCAAACATTGGTGACGGGGATGCACCTCCAAGAACTGCAGATACACATGAGCCTGAGCCTCACGTGACCCCAATGTCTTCACAGGAGCCTGAGCCTCACGTCACCCCAATGTCTCCACCAAACGGAGAAGCGACGCCATTTGATCATTCGGCAGTTGAGAACCCTCGGTTCTCCTCCCCGCAAATGGATCTATTTACAGTAAGAGAAGAAGATGACAGTCCTTTCATCAAAACCCCACGGTCTGGACTTGGAGGAACTAGTGCTACCGCTACTGGCAGCTATGCAACACCTGGACAAAACACCCGTGAATCTGATCCTAACGGGTCTCAGTTCCCTTTCGGCGACGACTACCTCGATGAAGACATGCCAGAGATTCCAGGCCTCATGAACACCCCTAGCGTGGCATCTAGTGCGGATACCGGTGCCACAGGACTGAGCAGCATGTCTAGTAGGACAAGGGCTGCCGCCAAGTTCTACAAAGGCATGATGTCCTCAGCCACATCAGAGGACCAGCAGCGAGGGAAATTCAGTTTGAGCATAATCTTGGACGGGAGGACAAGGAAGCAAGCTGCGAGCATGTTCTTCGAGACGTTGGCCCTGAAGAGTTACGATTATATTGACGTGTGTCAGGAAGAGGCGTATGGTGACATTTCAGTTTCAGTTAGACCCTCGCTCTCGAGCGCCAAACTTTGAATACCTAAATTGGTTTATCGTAAGTTTAGTGTTTCGATATACCGTAACAGTGTCTTAGGCATACGGCATACCAGTGTGTGGATATTGCCATGTTATTTACACCTTATCCTAATCTTCCTGTAATATTTGTTGTGTATCTCCATTTGTGTCGATTCTGGCAAAGCTAGTGTGAATGGTGCTGAAGGTGTTTGTCTTGCATTTAGTTTTATCCTGAGCACCAGCAGACAACAATGGGTCAGTTCACTTCAAAGTGGGAAACGACACATTAGAAAAAGATACATGTAGAGCGGGTAATCAGCAACCCGGCATGATCAGAGAGTGAGCTGGGGCAAAGGGTTTATGAAAAAAAATTAGGGCAATGCATTTATTTTTTATTTTTCGACATCTGGATGGGTATTCCTAGCGTTCTCTAGATATGGTTTTCACTACATGATAGTCAGAAACTTCAGAAAAAATCATATATGTATTTCAAGTCGTCCACCCAAATAATAAGATGGATTTGATTCGATAAAGTAAAATGTCCGGGTGAGAACCCTGCATCGACTATGTCGACGTCTATGGACGTCTTCCTTGCAGGAGGTGCCGTTGTGGAGCTCCAGCACCTACAATACCTTGCTTTGTGGTCTCCGGCTGAAAACCTAAGATCGGGCTTGCCGGATCGGATGGCGGTGTTGTGTCCTCGACAACACTACCTCCTTGGAGGCGTCATCTTGGAGACCCAAACGACGGCTTCAGTTGCTGCGTCTGGTTGAGGGTGGTTCGCGTGGTGGTGGTGGTGGTGGTGTGGCCTGCTTAGGACTGAGGGTAGTGTGTTCTTCTTCAGGTGTTTCTCTTCGGCTGTCCTACATGTGGTCTCTGGCCTGCTACTATGCATGCTCAAGACCCTATTCTGTTGAGGCGAGCCTCGAGCTCTTGGTCTCATCTTGGTTCACCTTTGCTCAATGACGACGCAATGACGCCTCCCCGACTTGCTAATCGTCTTGAACTTCCGTGGCGGAGCTCTTAGTCAAGGTTCGTGTTAAGCGTTGGCACTCGTTGATTGTGGATGCTCCTTTGTTGTGCTGTGGGGTTTGATACGCACGCCGGTGCGGTGTGTTTGGCTGCTTGTAGAGTCTTGGTATTGTGATCCCTCGACGCACCCCTCATCTACCTGGTCCTGTTAGTTTGCTAGCTAGGTCTTGCCTTTATGTTGGGCGTCATGTTCCTCTCCTTTTCTTGCAACACTTGTTACTTGTCTGGTTTTCGGCTCGGTTTTTCTCATAAACGGGGTCAATTTATTAAGGTTTTTGATCTGGTTTTCCTTATAAACTGGATCACTCTCCTGGCATTATGGCCACTTTGAGCAATATATTCAGGTGAAGGGACTCCTCCCCCGGTGATTCTAAAAAAAATGCTTTCCCCTTGCAACCCAAAAAGGAAATAGCATGAAGTGGAGCCAGCGCAGATCATGACCATACACCTGGTCGAGAAATAACCACACTCGTGTTGGGTTGCTGCCATGGTATTCATCTCAGGATTCTTGATCTTGGACATTTTGTTTGCGCAGAAAAGGGAGCTTTATTTAAAAATCGTCAGCAATTGCTGTTGAGATACAGTGTGGTGACTGAAAAACTAAGAGTTTGCACTTCGAGAAGTCGAGCAAAATTTGCTAACCCATATGTAGCCCTATTTGTTCAATCTTGTTTAGTAGCCGCTCCTGGTATTACTCTGAAACAACCTCTTCAGTTCTCTGATGATGAAACTGGCCGGCCTGCGACCTATTCAGCTCTGTACTTTGTAATGCTTGCAATAGCACAGTGGTGTCAGATTGCAGAACCAGCGTTGACTGATGTGCTGCAAGGCAAGCTAAATACCCTCCATAACTGACAGGCCTCCAGCTTCGAACGCATCAGTACAATGGCCAAGGAAACGCCATGCCGCCACCAGCACTTCCCCATCTCCAGCACCCCGTTTTCCTTTCAGGGATATCCCTTCCATCCTGTTGCCGGATGGTGAATAGTGACTCTTCATAGTGACTTCGGCTTGCCTTCTCTAAATGAAGAGATGATCTCTTACACTAGTACAGACGGTGCCTATTCACTCGGACCTCCAATCGCACGGATATTCAAGCGCAAGGTCATCAACAGGGCGCAGATTAATGGCGTCGATGCCCCTTCCTACGCCGCGTCCATAATGGACCCTGAGGTCCCCATCGCGCTCACGCTATCAGCGCACCTCCTCCTGGGGCTCGTCTACATCTACTTTTTCTTGGACAATGCTAAAACTCAGCCAACAAATGTCTCCCCTCCGCCGCATGACATGTGCATGTTTCCCTGCTGGGTGCCCCCCATTGTTGCCTCTTCCAACCTTATCTATTCACCTCTTCTCTGCACATTCCTTCTCTCTTTCCCGTTCTCCATCTCTGTTCGCCAAGCCGAATAAGCAGAGAGGCCTCTCATGGCGACCACCACACCCGCTCATGTGAATCGAGACTCGGGAGGTCGAAGCCGACCATCTCATTGTTGCAAGTAGGTGTTGTCGCTAGCGATGCTGCAAGCCAATGTCAGGTCGTCGTGTCGGGGGTTGCAGCAGTGTCCAAGATGATGCACGGCGACAACTACAACCTCGGTGATGCTGCGACGGCCGCAATGACGAAGATGCTGAAATGCTGAATGGCATCGACTGCAACAATGTCTATGTTCCACTCTGCGATGGAGGCCACCACGAGCGAGGATGTTGCGATGGCGAGACGGTGGTGCTGGCGGGAAATTCTTCTGGGAGAGAACAAAGCGAACAACGCGACGCGTAGCATCGGTCTTGTTTTTCTTTTTCTTTTTTGTTTCATATAAATTGGTCAGTATTATTATCATTACTACCAAATCTGACTCTTGTACTACACAAACCGATTACGCCGTCACACGCGGCACTGAACCCGGTGGCATGCATGTTCGGGTGCCGAGGAGCGCGCGCGCTTTCCCCCCGAAGCAATTCCAATCGCATCTCATCTCCACGCCCTCTCTGCCGCATTTCCCCCGCCGCAACCAAGCCCTAGCCCGACGCCGAGCCCCCCATCTCTATGACTCTATCCCTCCCCACAGCTAAAATGTTTAACTCCGATTGGGTCCTTGCTCGGAGGAGCCCGCTGGGCGCGGTATGGATCGCCGCGGACCTCGAGCGCAAGCAGGACGTCAACACGACGCAGATCGACGGCGTCAACACCCCGTCCTACACCGTGTGCGTCGTGTCCCCCGAGCTCCCGATCGCGCTGAGGCGATCTGGGCATCTCCTCCTAGGGCTCGTACGGATCTACTCATGGAAGGTGAACCACCTGTGCGGTCGTGGAACCTCTGATCAGAGTCAGATCACCCTGCGTGAAGAAGAGTATGTGACGGTCACTCTTGACGAGGATGGACGAGCAGAGCCAACATATCTTGATGAGGATGCAAGTGATGACCCCATGGACGAAGATCCGTCGCCGCCATTCATAGGAAAGGTTACCCCGCCACCGGAGATGTACTCGCCTTTATACCCTGTTATATGTAGAGGGTCTTTGCTTGGGGCATCCATTCCCAACGCACCAAGAGGCCATGGTCCTAGTCCTACTGAAGATGAAGAACCAGCAGGTGGCACTGGAATCTCGGTACTGGCATTTACCCTTGAACCGTCAGTAGTTCAAGATAACAAGCGAAAGAGAAGGCAGAATGTACAAGAGAAGAACAAGACGAGACCCGTACTCGACGATGAAGAAACGCTCTCCCTTGCCTATATGGCAAAACAAATCGATGTTGATGAGCTAGGTAAGCTGGTCCGCAGGAAGAAGGTAGCACCCCTTACAGCACTAGATTTGTGGAGATTCAACATGATGAGCCAAAAGGACATCCTCTTCTCCGAACCTTTGGTGCAAGGAATGTGTAGTGATCTTCATAAAGCTTGCAAGGTAACATCTCCACCTCACCTGCAAGATAACAGGAGAAAGAGAACGCCGAGTGTGATACAGAAGAAGAGAGGAATCATACTCGACGATGAAGAAATGCTCTCCATTGCCTATATGGCGAAACAAATTGATGGCGATGAGCTAGGTGAGCTGGTCTGCACGAAGAAGATAGCACCCCTTACAGCACTGGAAATGTGGAGATTCAACATGATGAGCCAAAAGGACAGTTTCTTCTCCGAACCTTTGGTGCAAGGAATGTGTGCTGACCTCCATAAAAGCTTGCTCGGGGGCCTACCCTCGTTTGAGTGACTCTGATGCTGACTCTGCCCATGTTGCCAAAAATGTTTGTCACGAGGATGCAAATGCTGGTGACGTGGATGCACCTCTAGGAAATGCAGATGCACAGGAGACTGAACCTTGCTTCACTGGAAATGGAGGAGCATCACCATTTGGTTTGGCACCCGAGTCCATCGGCTCTCTCCGCAAAAGTATCTCCAGTAAAAGAAGATGTGATGATTCTCCTTTCACAACCCCAGGTGGAACAGGAACCACCTAGTATATGCCGTAATCATGTTGTGACTCTCCTAGTCTTTGTCCTCAGCCACCACTGACTGCAGCTGCTCCGCGCTGCCCTTTCTAGGATAAGAATAAGAGGATTTCTTCCTTTTTAGGATGATCCATGTCAACGCGAAGCTCATCTTATGTTATTTTTCTCGATTGATTTTTTGCTGTTTTGCCGTGGTGCCTATGGGCAAAGTATAAGAAAATCGGATGGAATGGGGAAAATCATATATTGAATCTGATTAACGTGCCTTGCATTTAGTTTAGATGTGTTTTGAACTTTTGACCATGGGTTGCAAGTATAATTGGGAAACAACAAGCTGAGGAGATCCCATTTGATGAAACAATAGCATCATGGTATTGAAGTGAAGCTGACTCAATACGATTGATGCTAGGAGAAATAGCAAGCTTTTCTAGACCAAAATGGTAAGATTTAGGTTATATATGCTAAGTGCTAACTCTAGCGCTGACTCGTTAGATGTAGTTTTTCTTGTTCTAAAAAAGACCCTGATGGGAAACTAGGCAT